TGCCACACGAGCAAATTTGTCTAATTGTTGACGTTTTCTGAAAGGAATGTGGGTCAAATTTTGCCTTAAAAAGCAGACTGTCTTCCAATTTGGTCCAAATTAAGTGTCTTTCGATTTAATGTCAATTGAACTATGCGTTCCCTCCAACTCTCACACTATGACATTATAAATTGGCTAAGATATGTAATTGATGTACGGCGGCAACGGAAGTGTGGCTTTGCTACCCTGTTATCCAAAATATCCAGCAATATCTTTCGTTGCCTTCCAGAAGACCTCTTATGAGCATCTGCATTCAATTCTCTGGGTTTTTTCCAATTTAGTCGTGAGATCATGTGGGTCTGGATCATGTGAGATCTGGATCCACCAACTGTCAACGGCATCCAGGTGCCCAGCAAACCTGGAACAGTTCGGAAAGGGTGAGGATATCCATCGTTGTGCCTGTCAGTCCCCTATTTACAAACCATATATATATATATATATATATAAAGTGAGCAAAATTACTAAAAATGCGGACAAACTGTCATTTTGTTTTCAGTGTCCGTGAGCGATATTCTCTCAAAACACCCTGGGTTTGGCGTTTAGAAAAACATCTGCTGAATTTTTCTGATTTTCAATGAAGCGGGTTAATCCCAACGCTCAAAAATTGTAGTTCGTGGTCCTGTTTAAAGAGCGATCTCTCAAAGTTCTAAAATGCATTAGGAGTGTGGAGAGATTAATAAAGGTTGACGATGTATTCTGAGATATCGAGTGGACCTTTTTTGATAGCTGTTTTTTTCAAACATCGCATTCTTGTGGTTTTGTCGCGCAACCTGATCAGGTTCATCTGACAATTTTAAATCGCTTTACATGTGCCGACAGCCCACTACCACACTTGACGACAACAACAATAGTCTTCACTCAATCCCTCCAGTATTGCAAACCCTTCTGAGAGACATCAAATTTGTTTGTATCAATGGTATACCAATCACATCCGGCCGATCAATGCTATGACATCGTCCACAAGGCAACCTCAGGTTCGCAAATAGACGCATTCACAAGGCTCACCGAGGTGCTATGGCCATTGTTTACATGAAAGGCTGTACGAACTGGTGCGCCTACACTACCGAAATGATGCGTCTCTTTGTGTATAACTGTGTGTGTGCAGCGGATTGTATGCGTACAGAAGTTCCGGTCACAGTACGCTAGTAAGCAACCGTAGCAAGTGTATACCTGTACGTGAAGTCCATCAACAATCGGACACCGACAGTCGGACTGTGTGGCACGTGGCCCAAATGGATACTAGCATTCATCTTTTGAAATTGTGTATTAGTAACACTGGTCGGGGAATTTGAAGTGATGATGAACATCTGAGTGTCAGGCTCACTCAAGCATTCATAAGATTGTTAAGATGGCCGGTTCAGTAGGTTGGCTGCAGCACGGAAAATATGAGAGCGTGGACTAGAGTGAGGCGACCTCCGAATCGAATAAAATAATCAACACTGCTAACTTGTTCGCATACTGGTTAGAAAATAATTGTACCCCTTCCAGTCAACGATCCCTTCATGTATGCATTCGACGAAAATAGGCTTCGGTCGAATGACCTTGCCTGAGTTGTGCTCGATCAAGCCAAAGTATGTAAACCGGGCTCATAATTCTCAAGCAGCATTGGCAAACGGTCAGCACCAGTTAGAAAAACAGTGGTGAGAGTTATCGCGCTTTTCCGGAGAAGCTGGGAATCACTGGCTACAACAACCTCAAATCGACAGACGGTGTTCAAAATTCCCGAGCCAAATGAGGTCCGAAGAGAATTTTTCCGCCCAGTTCATAACACGATAGCAACTACGTCGTACACAAATCGAAAATCGCCAAGAAATCTGGTACGTTCCGCCGAAACGAAGTTTCAAGACGGCTATATCAGACAAATCCTGCCTTGTTCCTTTATAAGACTGGTCTCATTGAATCGTCCTGGACAGATTACGTAATCCTCCAAAACTAGTGGGTTGAGGTCGTCAGAACCAATAAACGAACGTAATAATAAATACGAGTGACCCGACTTACGGAGAGCTTCAAACTATTCTACAAACAAAAAGGAAAACATGAAGTTCCGCCGCTGACTTCCGGTACCGGTCTCGCATGCACTCCATCGGAAGTTGTGAACTTCAGAAGAGATTTTTAAGCTGCGGTCGTTCATCGGGCTGGAGCTAACGCAGAGATCGAACTGAACGTCAACTATTATATATGCGTACGCTCCTGTGCACACAAGAAAATTAAAGGTGAAGCTGAAAATCCCGAGAAGCGACAACCCTCAAAAGACAGAAACTTTTCATGCATAAAAATGTTGACAAACTTATCAGACTAACTACCAGAACCACTGACAGGATGGTTCCGGCTACTCCTGAATCTACTAACGATGCCAGTAGTGTACAAACAACGATTGTTAGTCGTGAATGTCATGGTTGTACGAGGGCGGGGATACTGCCAGGGCACCCACACCTAGACAGGAGGACGATTAGGGTCCTCAACCAAAGACTTTGGGTCAAAAGCCTAACCGCAAGGCAGCGGTGTTTGGTGGGAAATGCAAATGCATTACCATTTCTACGGAGCAAGTCGCCACATGTTCCAACCCCCAACCTGGAGGGCCAGGAGATTGTGTTCGTCAGACCTCTAACCATTGACCAACCTGGTATGAGAGACTCTATGAGTGTCGCGGGGACACTCCCCAGTATAGCTCAATGGATCGCTGTTCTCCATGCCCAGTTCAGAGTGGGGTAAACAGAGAGGTGGCCAACCCTGTCCGGAGTGATTGTAGTGAGCTAGGACTAAGTCCCTACCTCGTTCACCCTTATTCTTTTCTTCACAATAAGGCTTTCAAATAAATCATGGTTGTACGGCAGTGAAGCATCGGTGTTGAACACTGACATCATGCTGTCAATGATGATGATGATGACAAACAAAGAATAGTTACACAGATATCCAGAGGAATATGTGAAATATTTCGTTTCGAGCGAATTCTGCTGTGTCGAAGGCATGTGAGCGATAACAGCTGATGAACTCGTAAGATGCGGATAGGATCCTATCAATCTTGCAGTATGGCTCCCGCAGTGAACACTCATACACAGCCACCTGGTGAATGCGTGAGATCAGTGTGCGAGGACAGTAGACAATGCTTCTGGAGTAGATCTTAACGATCGGAACTTCTCTGAAGTTTTCAATAGAGTTAACTGTTGAATATTGCTTCAGAAGTCGCATCAGGACTGAACATAACTATCCTTCGAATTTTACCTAGGGCTACTTCCAACATCAAAACCTGGTCATCCGGCTAAATCGTGTCCTCTCCCACCCAATTCACACCTAACCCAATAGCTGTGAAGTTCATCAGCGATGAGTTCTTGAACCACGTCTTTTTCTATCTTTCATCAATGTGCAACCTAATCTTTTTAGGTTCATGGACGACGTCGGTATATTCGCACAGCCAAGAATAGCAATTGCATGCAGGTAGATCTTGACTGTTCATATCAGTGACCGGTGAAAAATCGATCGCCCTTCAAGAAAGACGCGCTATGCTCTCCCTGCATCACTTAAAACTTCATCTGTGCATGATCGGAGATGGACTTGTTAACGTTTCAAATGAAGAACAGGATTTCGGAATCGTGGTACAAAAACGTATTGACTATTTGTAAACCGTACCCAGAAGGCTGCCGTCATCACAGGCTGGTTGAATATCATTGGCAGAAAGCTTTAGAGCATTTGACACATCTGTGTTTTTCCAACTGCTAGTCCTTCTTATTTTGAAAACTGCCAGTTACCCATCTTGATCACTCCTGGTACTTTGAAAAAGCGATGGCCCTCGAGGCGATTACTAAAGATTATCTTCCCGACAGGATCAAACGAATAGCTGTCTATTTGCAGATAGTGGAACTCTTTTTCTGACGGTATGGTTAATCGCTAGGAATGGGAAATTGGATTTATTTTGGATTCGCCGAAGTTCACCCATGAGCAAGGACACCATACTGTTTTCCGTGACCTTCGTCAATGTCAGTATCCGATCCAGTGTCATTCCAGCCGGTGGGTTGTGCAACCAATGTATGCTGATTCAACTAGTGCCCAACAGAATGGTGCTTGGGTGCTGTCGGTGCTACTCGCCTTCCAGGATGAAGACCGCGTGATCCTCACTGTGCCTGGTTGGAGACGCTACAAGATATGGCTGCCAACCGATGTCAGTGGCGTTTCTGTTGTCAGTTTCTATCCAGATTGCCTGAGTGAATGTCTGGAGGTGTAGGCACCTCGGAATGATTGTGTTAAGCTAGCACTAAGTCCCTCCCCCATCCACCTTTATTCTTTTCTTTACAATAAGGCTTTCAAATAAGTCATGGTTGTACGGCAGTGAAGCATCGGTGTTGAACACTGATGTCATGCTGTCGATGATGATGATGATGATGATGATGATGATGATGACGATGAAGCATTCTGATCATTTTTACTGCCCGTTGGCGTTTTTATATGGAACTAACTCCTGGTTGTTGGTTCTTGCCTTTTTTTGACCTACAGTGCCGGGACGAGCATTCGTGTGAAAGGCAAATTCCTATTTGTCATCGAAACCCCCCGTATCGTGTTCTACTTCAACTGGTCTGAACACAATAAGGTTTTCAAATAAGACATGGTTGTACGGCGGTGAAACATCGGTGTTGAACACTGATGTCATGCTGTCGATGGTGATGATGATGCATCAGAATGGTAAGAAACGTTAATTGTTTGGCAATCACCAATTTTCGCTTGTCTCTTGCCACATCTTGAGCATCTTTGACAGTATTTTCCAGCTTACGAGGTCCTCCTCTACGGCAGCAACACCGTGTATGTCTGAACCGATGGCCTCGAATAGAATGGAAAGCTAGATCAGTGTTCCCGTGCCAGAGCCTACTCAAATCTTCTACGCCATTAGCTCACGTGGTGTCAAGTGAGTGTGTATCGCATATGCACGTGATGTGGACTCTCGACTGTCATCCAACAACAGTGACGACTTGCTTCAACTTGCACAAAATCGTCACCTGACATGGAAGGTATGCCTGCCAAATACTGAAGACCCCGTGTACCAGCTTGCCTCTCCCAGTGAAGACATCTGAATAAAGTCGTCAGTTTTCCACTTGAGAACTGTTTCAGTGCCAAGTTTTTCGGCGCGAAAACCCCGACACTTCAAAGTTGTTACAAAGTAGTCACAATACCAGACTAGAAAATAGGGTCGCTTTATTCACCATTTCCAACGAATTTTCGAACAAACCTTTTATTTGACTATGATGGAAGTGTGTTTGGACACATGAATTTACAAAAGCCATGGGGGGTAAATGCGAGGGATACTAATACTGTGGTGGGAGAAAAGTCAAAGGTAATTTGGCTTGAAAGCACCGTACATCCCACCATCAAGAGATTGTATCTCTTTTTTGATGGCACGGATTTCCTCCGTAAAGCCTCTCCTCAATGGAACCCATTTTGTGCAACTGAATACTTGCTTTTTCTCGCGGTGGACAAACGGACCCCACTTCAGAGGGAAATGCGCCTACACAAACTATGTATAGCAGTGACCTGAAGCTATTAGGTGACTGTCGCGTCCATTGGACGATGTCATAAGAAGTGCTGATCGACTATTCCATTCCACCGACAGGCTACCCTTAATCAGAAATAACTTAGTCTGATAAATAATGTAGGTTGGGACACGCATATGGAGCCTTTTAATGTGATATTCTGCAGTTATAACGATGGCTTAAAGTGAATTACCTGGAAAACAAGATGGAGCAATGTTCGATTGATCGACACAGTTGTTTTTGGTTCAGAATCGAGTTAAGCTACATAGCGTGAAAGCCACTCTTTACTACGGTGCTTCAGCATCACTTGTGATATGCGATAGTCTTGCAATAGTCGAATATTCGCTAGGGACAGAGTGAAGTATTTTATCGCTAGCTCATAAAGGGTGCTGAGATCACACCAACGCAACAGAAATTCCATCATCTGAGCTTCGAAAGTGTGTGATTGTTAGCTACTTCGTCCATGATGGCCCAATCCAATTGGCAACATGCGAAGGTGTTTTCTCGCAGAGGGAAGTACTTTACTACGCCACAGCACCCACAGACCGGACTTTCTCGAGACTACAAGGTTCGTGCTTTGTTGTTATGTTTACATAGGGTAGCATCTACAGATTTTCTGAACATTTCTAATGCCCTAACTGAGGCAAGGCCTTCAGACATGGCGCTCATCATCACCATCATCAACAGCATGACATCAGTGTTCAACATCGATGCTTCACTGGCGTACAACCATGATTTATTTGAAAGCCTTATTGTGAAGAAAAGGATAAGGATAGACGATGTTGGCAGCCTTATCTTGTAGTGTCTCCAACCAGGCGCAATGAGGATTATGCGGTCCCCATCCTGGAAGGCGAGCAGCACCGATAGCACCCAATCGTTTCGTAATCTCTTTCATACCACTCTCCCAGTTCAAGGGTTGGCCACCTCTCCGCTTCCGCTACTCTGAGTTGGGCATGGAAAACTGTATTCTCTTCGGCAATCGATGGTTCGACATACACAACATATGTCCCAACTACCGCAGCTTCTGGTACCGGACATATTCTTCGATGGAAGTACTGGTTGCACAACCGAAAACCCAATTTCTGATTGTCTCGTTAGGGATTCGCCGACACCAACCCACACGAGCTATGGTTCTGAGACAACGATTTTCGAACACCTGAAGACATGTCAGTCCCGCTGCTCGAACCGGCCAAGTCTCACAGCCATACATGGTTGTGCTGTCCACGTCCGAAGTTTTGCTTTACAGATTTGTGTCGGATACCTGCACTAGCTCTCTTGATCTCACTCACTCCTAATTCAGTCCCGTTTTCTTCAGCTGAACGCCGTTATATGATTTCTCTTCGTTGCCATACCCTTTGATGTAAGACTTCGATAACAGTCTTCCCAATAGCTGATAGCGTACACTTGTTAAATACCACGGAATCTCGGAAGAATGGTAACTGTAAAACAGGAATTTTCAAGGAATACAGTCGCATCTATTGTATTGACTAACGTCCTCATGCTGCCAAGTTCGTTCACACGCAATTCAGGGCACTTGAGTCGGGGACTATTCCCGCTCGTAACAGTCGGCTCCATACTGATTTTGGTAATGGTACCAATGTAGTTGGTATGCTTTGTTTTTTTGCTCACCGTCCAGATGAATTCCTCGGCAGAAGTACCATAGTCTTCAGGTCCGTTTACCGAACACGGTATTGTTGCACAAACGTTTGTTTTAATGTGTTCTCAGCTCGCATCAGCCCTCTAATCGTACAGTGCAGCCACGCGGTTTTGACTCACCTGTCTTGGCTCCGTGAATGGAAAGTTATAAGCTCCAATTGAGCTTTGAATCAGACTTGTTATGTGATCTACCGAGGTTGCTTCGAAATGCCCAGATGTCACATTCTTCCTCACTTCAGGCAGGTGTACCTTGTTTTCAGCTTGGATTGGATTACGGTTCGTAAGATTTACCTTCCATGACCCACCAAAATGAACTACCTCGGGCTATAACCTAGCCAGTAACAACTAGCCTCCTCATGTTCAAATCGTTCTTACCAAAGTTCAACAGTTTTCTACAGAGGAAAATGTTCTAGCCCATGTAGCGTAGATGGTCGTTGGCTTGTTCACTGAGCTAGGCAATTTGATTGCAAACGTTTCATCACCAATCGAGGTGACATCATCAGTGCGTTATTGGGGACTGTAGTGGTGCGTAGCGGTGGGTCGTGCACAACCACTAACAGCTTTCTTTTTGGGCTTTCAGCTAAAGTGCGATTCAGCCCCTTAGATCTAACCACGAAGTTTTCACGGTCTGTGTTCTTCTCAACTGTTCCCATGTCATATTCGATGGACATTTGAGTCCCTGAGTCACTGAAACAAATAATCCTTTCTCTCTCTGTGAGTTCGACCATAGCTAGATGCATTGTTAACACTGACACTGTGCGTGATACGCTGCTACTTTGTTTCACTTACTTCTGTTG